AATGCACCTTTCCCTTGATGAGACAACATTTAATACGTAAAGACGAGGAAGTGAAAAGCATTAAATGCTCCTGTGACTGAGCATTAAATACATCCCTGCCGAGTGAGGGTCATTAAACGTTCGACAGACCAAGGATGATGCATTGGTTGCTCGGGATCCCGAACAGTTAAGAAAGAGGTCATTTCTCCTGAAAACCAGTATGCATGTTACCCACCTCTAATGATCACCTACTGACCATACTGACAGCAATCATAAGTTTTTAAGATATAAATACTCCTCACAAAAGATAAGACGGTACGCAAAAACCTTTTCTCAAATTTATACACAGTGTTTTCTTCTTCCCCTCTCTCAAAAAACTGACTCGATCGTTGGAGAAGATACGCCGAAAAATACTCTGGCGCCCTCCTAACTCATTTTTCTCTGTTCCAGGAACCTCCCTCAGCCTTACTGGACCACTTTGGTGACCCACAAAAGTCACTTATTACCGTTTCAGGTTACCACCGGACCTCACACCTTTCCAAATAATAAGACTGACCATTCGATTGACTGACTCGTGTTCACCACGAGAGAGATCTGTTCTTGTGTGTATATTGTGCAAGATTCTGCACGCACATTCTTCTTCTTCAATACTGCCCCAGGAAGAGAGACGGCCAAAGTCATCTATAAGGCCGCGTTTGAAATCGAGGAGAGCTCGTCTCTCCCTATCTATGCACCTCATGACTTTGACATCTCCGAATCCTGAAGTAGTAGTGGCCACTGATCTGAAAGCAAGATTCATAATGAGTAAAATCAGTACAAGAAGGAAAACAAAGAAGGTTTCACCACCCATGATGACCATCAATCAAATTAGCAACAAACAAGTAGTATTTGATATCGATGTTGTATTTTAGTTCTCTCGAGGAGCCTATGCAGTCGCCCTTTTATAGTAGTTTGTGTTGCACTACTACAACCGGTCAACAGACATCAGGAAAGTTTTTTTGTTTTTTTTTTTTCCGAAAAGTAAAATAAAATTCACAATGACCAGGAAAGCTGTAAGCACTAAGAGCAGGTAGTCGGTGGCCGGTCAACAACAACCAGGAAAGTTGTAAGCATAAAGCAGGGAGTTGGTGGAAATTCTGTCAAAAATAAGTACGCATCATGGAGGGTGCCCACTGATGGAGTGCTGGTTACGTCGGATGTAGACTCCCGTACAAGAAGTCAGGCCCTGGCCCACCCACTTCAGCTTTTCTCTTCAAGCGACACACACTACCTCAAAAAGCCCGAGATTGGGGACGTCCCGAAAATGTTAAAAAACGGTTATATCAACTCATCAGTCATCACGTTCTATCTATTACTAATAACAAATAAATAATTTAATTTTAAATGATTAAATAATTATTTATTTATGTCAGATAATAATTATACCATTAAAAAAAGTGAGAATTAACATTATTCATTTAATTTTTTCTTTTTGAATATTACACTATATCAACGTGACTACAGAGTGTAACGGAAACTATAACACCAAAAATTTACTCCGAAAGAAGAGCACCCAGTTCTGGTCTCATTACAAAATGTTCCTCACACTAAATAATAGGGCCTTGTTACAAATGACCACCGACTAACACATTTGATCAATGTTATCATAATCGGACCGATCATCAAATCAGTAAACGGACCGGGTCAATGGTTCACTGGTCGGACTGGTCATATAATAAAAAAATATATATAATAATTATAAAACTTCATAATTTAACTAAAAAATATAAAATATGTATAAAATACATAAAATTTGCCATAAAATTAATGAAATTAAGTAACAAAGTGAGGGTTATTGTATTTTAAAACAAAATAAAGAGGTTCAAGTAAATTATAAAGAAAAAGAAGGGATATCATTTATAATTTTTTCAAGAATAAGGTTAAAAAAAATCAGTTGATTTAGGCCGAAAAAATTTATTTATTTAATTTAATTTTTAAATAAGCATTAAACCGTTCGATTTTTATAAAATCGGCTGTTTACAGTTTACGATTTTTGTTAAAAATCGACCGATTTTTTGATTTTTAACCGATTTGCTTCCTCAAGCGATTCAACTAAAGAACCGGACCGATTAGAGTTTCGGTTCACGGTTGAACTAGTTCGACCAACCGATCTGGTCTGATTCTAATAACACTGCATTTGATTACCGATTTAAATTAAAGGTGTGCCTTTTTTTGTTTCTAGTCGTGTTAGTCTTTCTCCATCCTCCGATCAGAAAGATTGAAATTTTTATACTTTGAAATGGTTAAAATTGTGAAAATGTTTTAAATAATCTATGTTTTGAGGTATTTCAAATATGTTTTAAGATATTTTTGTATATTTTATCCCGCAATTATCAATTAATTCAATATATCCAAACAAAATTTTAATCTTGTCTCGAGTAGGCCTCCTGTATTTATTTATTTTTATTTGAAGACTCAGGTCATAAAGAAATCAGTTATGGGTGAGATGGATCTCTGTTTCGGGTCAATCACGTTAAGGCCACCAGCCATCCACTGAATCATAAATTATTAGTAAATGTGAAAAGCAGTAAACAAGAACTTCGTGGAAATTTTTGTGAAGAAGAGTACCGCGTTCATCATGGGGTGAGTGTCCACCGATGGATTGCCTTTCTCATCACGCACATAGCCATGCTTGCCGAACCAACCCATGATCAGGCAACCTCGCACTTGCGTTCTTCCACCAACAGATTGAAGTCGATCGGACATTTGGCAGATAATCTCCGAAAAAAATAGCTCCATAACATGAACCGTGTCGAACCCTAAGCCATGGCAGAGCATTGAAACACCACTGTGAGACCAAAACAGATGGCAATTCACAATTTTCTGATGAAGATGGGTTTTGGAGGTCTGGATCTGGGGAAATCAACAACAGAAACAGAAACAAAAATACATAATATAAATACCGATTTTCTGGTGACGAAACTCTATAGATTTTCGTCATTTGTTTTATATATTTCTTTCTTCTTTCACCTTTATTAAGGTGCATTTCGTTAGGAGGAAGGAAACGAAGAAAAGTAAAAATAATAGAGTAAAGTTTACGAAAAAAAAATGATAGAAAATATATTTTTATGCATATAATTAGGTAGAATGAAAAATTTATAGAAAAATTTAAAAAATAATTATTTTATTGTTTGAAAGAAAGGAAAGTTATAAAAAAAATTTTATAATTGTCTAAACTATCGTTAATTATAATAACTTAGTCTAAAAAGAAAAAAATATATAATTATAATTGAACGTTAAATTTTTTAAAAAAAGTGGCTCAAAACCTAATTCTAAAATAATCACCAACACAAAGGTTTTTAGGCTAAATTATATGATTAATCAAATTCATATCAAAATTTTTTTAAATTAATAACTAATAAAATATTTTAAGAAAAATAAGAGTAAAATGAGAAGTTAGCTATAAATCATAACTTTCTTGTATTTCCTTAGGGTCCATTTATTTAGCGGGATTATGGTAAAAAATGCAAGAAAGGAAAATTTTTTAAAATTTTTATGTGTTTGATTAGCATGAAATGGAAAATGATAAAAAAAAAAAAAAAAAAATTCTTCTATACTTAAATTTTCTCACAATTAACTAATTTTTTTTTCTTGCAAAAAACACAAGAAAATGCAAGAAAGTTGTGATGTATAACTAACTTCCTATTTTAACCCTATTTTTCTTAAAATATTTTATTAGTTATTAATTTTAAAAAATCTTGGTATGGATTTAGTTAATAATATAATTTGACTCAGAGACCTTCGTGCTGATGATTGTTCGAATTAGGTTAGGAGTAAATTTTTTTAAAAAAATTAACTTTTAATTATATTACATATTTTTTTCTTTAAATTGATTTAATATAATTAAGGGTAATTTAAACAATTAGAAAAAAAAATTTATAACTTTCTTTTCTTTCAATCAATAAAATGAAATTTTTTTTGAAATTTTTTCACAAGTTTTTCATACTAACCAAATACATGCATGAAAATATATATTTTTTTTATTTTCTTTTCCGTCATTTCATTTTCTATCATTTTTCTTTTCATACTTATCAAACACATTAAAAAATTAAAAAAATTATCTTTCTTATATTTTCTATCATTCTCCCACTAAACAAACAAACCCTTAATAAGTTAAATAAAAAAATTATAATAACTAATTTAATAGTAAAAAAATTATTTAAATAGATTTTAAAAAGTAGGAGTTAGGTAGCGGAGGGAGTTGAAGTGTGATTAGAAAAGACACGTTATATAATGTGATTGGAGTCTAATTAAAAAATTCAAAACTTTAGAAATTTAAGCTTTCTTCCACTAATTTATTTGTTTTATGTTTATATATAGATAGATAGATAGATTAGCATAAATAATCCCAACAAGGCTGCTAAACAATTTGGGCAAAACCAAATTTCTTCTTATTCGACTTTGTTTTGTTTTGTCCAGGATCAAACAAAAAAATAAAATATATTCAATTTTAATCATAGTTTTCAACACTTTTAGTAACAAATTGAATCCAAACTATATTTTGTTTAAATTGATAAAAATAAAGTCGTGACAATAAATAATATTGTTTATAGCCCAAACCCATGTCTAGAAAAATTAACATCACCAAACTTACTGCTAATTTTTTTTTTCTATCTCTTCTCCCACAAATTTTTGAAAAATCTAATCTCTAACGTTTGACTAAAACTTTTAGTTTTTTTGAACAGGATTAAAATTGACTATGTAAATTTTGAAAAACTTTCAATTCAGAATTCAATTATCTTATGATTAAATAGTGTATAAACGATAATCTAAGGTTAGAAATTAAACTCAGTTGAACCTAAAAACTTAAACCATTCCCTAAACACTAAGAGCGAATTTACAGGAAACCCCATATTTATGTGCCATTTTGTGTCATTTTCCTTTTAACATCCAACAGTAACATGGAGCTCAATCATTGCATTCAAGCCAAAAAAAAAAAAAAAATTATCTGAGTAACATCTAGAAAGGCAACTATCTAAGATTTATTCCTCATCCTCTGCTTCAATCACCATCCTTAACTTCCTCCTCAATACAACATTCTGGGATGGAAAAGGAGTCGCATCATCCCCAGAATCTACCAAATCATCTGACAACTCGTCTTGTAGTTGCTGAAGCTGCAAATCATCAGCGTCATCGACAAATGTGGAACCAAATCGTTTTTCACTGCTGATGCCAGTCACTTCAGTTTCTGCATCGCCAGCATTATCGAAAGAAGCATCAACAATATCTGTAACTCCCATCTTGACGGGTTGTTCATGTACTTCCCTGAAAGAAAGAACCCAAATTACCCTCGAGTTTTTCGAGATTCATTCATAAAAATTATTTTCATTTGACCTCAACCAGGGGCAGACAAAATTTAGAAAGGACAGACTAAAGGGATCGGAGTAAAAATTCAACTCGTGATTGAGACAGCCATTGTATATAAACTAAACCTTTAGGGATGCCCTTTCTTGGACTCAGCCTCTAGGGAAGCAAAACAGCACATAGTTTCTATTTCTTCTCAGGATCGGAAGCCAGCATGGATCCGATGGTACAAGGACGTGGCTGGCTGGCTAAAGCCATGGCTCCTTTCGTTTATATGTGACACCGTCATATCCTTTATGAAATAAGCTTAATTTAGATTAACAGGTCGTTAATGCACAAGGCACCCTGTCAAATTTTATACAAATCAGCAGTAGGTAGCTTCCAATTCCTAAAGCATGCTGGGACCTTGTTGATGGACTCATCATTCAACCAAACAAACTCGAACTATATTCAAAATATCAGTCCATAAATTACTGGTTTGCATATTTAAATTGATTCCTTTGCTCTTGACCATGTATATCAGAATGTCTACATCCATCTCTAATGGGCTCAGTCATTCAAAATAAGCCTAGTGAGGAGATCTACATTCAAAAAATGATTCAAGAATGCTCGTGTTATTACCATCACAGTCCAGAAACTTTAAAACACAAGTGGTCACAGATATATATATATATATATACACACACATATATAAAATCCCCAAAAGCAGTAATACGGTATTCAGAAAGTAAAGGCTGACTGTCCTCATTCATCTCATTGTTGGCAAAATTTTGCAAGTAGGTGTATTAATCACAGAACATAATTCCTAAGAAAAATATGCCTCCTCCATTACCAGTACCTTTCTTTTTCAAAATATTTATTGTCCATATGTAAATACATAAAAAAAGAGCAAGAACATGATATTGTTTTTAAACTTTTGCCTGCATTATGGTACAAGTATTCACACTCTAAAGAGAAAGTTAAACAGGCAAATATATACCTTTCCATAACATCTTGAGTATCTCTGTGTCCGGAGTCAAGTTTAACCATGGCGTCCTTGCCTGAAGTGGTTTTGAGCTTCACGACCTTCATCTTTGGAAGGGATTTCCTACTTTTTCTATGTCAAAGATAACTCAAGAATAAGCAAACAACAAAAGGAAAAGAAAAGAAGATGAAACAGTTGCCATATAAGGTGACTTGAAAATGGATCATCCCTTTATAAATAAATAATTGTTTATTTAGTTGAGGTTCCTTAGGCATCCCCAACCCATTCAATTCGGAGACCAACCTCCCCAGATGCAGACAGACTATCAACTTGGTAATTAAATGGGGATCAAGAAGTAACAATAGATTGCCACAATGCTAAGAGAAGACATGTCAGCTAGGGAATCAAACTAGGGAATAATAACCAAAAAACACCAAAACATTAATGAAGTTCCTGAAGAGTCATGTTATAAAAGTGAATTCTGCAATGTATACGAAATCTCATGACTTGAGAGTTGAGAGTTGAGAGTTGAGAGAGATATGGCTTTTACTGTCCAAAAATCATATAACAGCATTCGTATGGACAAGCAACAATAGTATCATAAATGGAATAAATTACAAATTCTTAAATCTTTTTTTTTTTTACAATGATAAATTGAACTCTACCCCAATTACCCCACCCCAAATGGGATTCAAATCGGAAGACCGACAATTAAACACGAATTTTTGCATTTCAAACAATTTGAGCACCTTTGGTACTTGGTACTTTCAATTTATTGTCAAAAAGAGATGTTAGTCAACTGTGCAATAAGTTTTGGTTGTTGGCCAGTGTGTTCCTTTGAGTTCTACTCCAGCATTTTTTGGTGTGGGCAGCAATAAAATCCCCCAACATATTCGATTGATAATTGATTAGGTATATGTATATTCAGAATAATTTCCACATAAATTAAAATTGCATCTCCAATAAAATACTTTTCCAAACCGTCCAAAACAATGCACTGAAATACAATTTTACATCTCAAGGGTGATAGACTTTTGTTTTTGTACCTGTGAGCATTTGTTCATTTATTTACTCATTACTAGGTGAATTTTTAATCATGAGTGCACAAGGGCAAATGCATGTACTGTGCAGATGCATGTCCTCATCACTGATTCATCTGCTTCTATCTTACAGGGAAACAATTCATTAATAAACATTAAACAAGAATTATGAAAGCAGAATAGAAATGGAATCTGAAACACATTTTGCCTGTTGTTCTTTGCAAATGATAATTTTTTACTGATTTGAAGGATTACCAATTTGTTCTTATTAATAAGAAGAAAAATAATCTAATATCTGATTCATCTAAGTTTTAGTAGACAGAAAATGTAGAATAATTGCCACCACTGTTCCCACAAGTCTTGTATGCAAATTTACTGCAACATCTTTGGTTCATCAAATATCTGTTGTGGTGTGTGTGTGGAGAGAGAGAAGCAGAGACAGAGAACTTACTCCACAACAGAGCTTAGCAATTCATCATCAAAATCATCTTGTGGCAAACTTCCACTAATCTTCTTGTTTAGCCTTTCCTCACCATCACTTTCATCTTGCTTGTTTTTGGTCCTAGAAAGCCATTAATAATGAGGTCCTAAACACATAATTGGATAACATCAAGACGTCTATCACGGCTTTCCCCAAACTATTAAAAAAAACCTTGTCCCAACAATATTTCGTCGATCGTGGTTCGATTAACTAGACAATACTAGCACGTGACGCACAATACAATAGAAATATATTTAGTTGGTACGCTATCATGAGTTGCACATTCCTGTAGAACTCTAATTTTGATAGCTCTCATTATGTAATTACAAATAACTATACAGTCATTCGTATAGTCAATTAATATTAATTAAATATCTATGAAAAGTGTTCCAAAATAAATTGCAATCTAAAACAACAAAATAAAATTGGTGAATAATAGAAGTTAATGGTTGCATATTGTGTTACCAAAAAAAAAATTGCAATCATCCTAAATTAAAATATAAGTTCAAAGATTACAAAATGAAGAAAAAATGCCAATTAGGGTTAAATTTGGGATACGGTCACAATTTAGGGTTACCAAGATTGTGGGTCCACATGGGATTGGGGTTAGAATCTTGTATTGGGAATCCAAGCAACTTAGATAGCAAACCCATTTAGGTCAAAGGTCGTGTGACCCAAATTGTAACACACCTGGCATACATGTGATCCGGTACCCCTGATCTAAACAACTTCAATCATATGACCATAAAATGAACCAAGCTATTCAGACTGGCCTTGAGCTCTGCTCGACAAAATCTCGCTAACTAATCACTTCAAAACCATCCTGAGCAAAAGCCATAAGCTTGCCATGAAAAATGAGTCGAGCCTGATCATTTCCCAGCTCGGTTTTTGGTTTTATTGCAATTATACATGTAATTAATGAACCTTCCAAGGTCATGATGTTGATGGGTAATGAGGGAATACGAAAAAGTCTGTTGGTTCAAGCAGGAAGATTGCAACAGGTACATAGAGTATTAAATGTTTGTTACAGTAAGAACAAAAACAGCAACAACATCAAATGAGGTTTATCAAGAAATACGTAGTGGCATGCATCTATAATATTTAGATTATCTTTGATAATGCAGACTTTCATGGTAATGTTTCAGTTGCCCACCCACAACTGCAGTGTGAAGGTGGATTCCGGTGTGTTGAGAACTGAGAAACTTTAGCCCAGTTGACATTGGATATATTTAGTTCAAGTCTCCCCTTTAGGGCCATCATGACATAGGCTCAGTTAAATTAATCGGGTGCTCAAAGAGACCCGATACCTTCTTGTTTGCCCCCACAAAAGAAAAATAATTAAATTGACTCCTTTCTTGGGCCAGAAACTTCAGAATTCTACACTTGCTTCAGGTACTAGATAGTCTTTGAAACTAATTTAGATGTTGACAAATACATAATGCTTTAAAGAGTTACCTTTTCCTTAGAGACAATAATGGTTCATTGTCAGAGTTGTATGCACCTTCTGACGTGAGGTCATTAAGTTCTTCATCCTTCAAATGCAAGTTGGCATCTGACCTCCTCTGTTGAGAAAGATGTAGACCAAGTTGCTTAAGTTTACGTGAAACCTGTTTTGCAGAGAATGTGCCATCAGCATCCAGTGCAGTAGCAATCATGTAGCCGCATCTCTTATGATCTTTAAACCTGTACAAAGTAAGCAAATATCAGATCACAATTTAACATCTTGATATGAACACGTTGGATAAAAAATTTTGAATTTTGTACCTAATGTGCTTAGTTAGGATATATGGAAAAAAATTAAATTGGATATGTATTATCAGATTAAGAACTCACTGCTCAAATAAAGCTTTAATCATCATCTCCTGATCTTCACTAAATGCACGTATTCTTTTTCGAGTGTGCCTGAGAAAGGAGAATTAGGTATTAATAATTGATTCCAAATTAAAAAGGTCTCCACCTAAAAATGTCACTTCACCAGAGCAAACTGCTGAAACTCCTTGATTTTTCTCTCCTGGTCATGCTTTGAAGTTTTAAAACTTTCACTAAAGCATTTAAGTATTAAACTCTTGGCTTGCAGCTGCAATAGTTCACTTTAACACAGTTGAAGGACACAAAGAAACTGCAACCTAAACAAAACATGATTCAGACTACTACATACAATGGTTGTCTCCGCGAAGAACTTTCCTCCAAATCATTCAAGTCAGGATGAGTGATCCCACTACCCATTTTCCTTTCTTCTTCCCCCAGTTGATCAGCGCCACCAGCATGAAGCTTCCTTTTCTTTGGTGGGATTTTGAATCCCAGCTGTTTAAGCTTTTTGGAAATCTGAACTGGTGAAACTTTTCGGTCCAAATCAAGGGCTTCGGCAATGAGTTGACTACAGAGTTGATTATCTTTATACCTATAGTGGCCACAATTGTAAAAGAAAAAAAATGTCAAAAACCCCAGGATGAAATGAAGAAAGAATCTATACAGCTATATGAAAGCTCAACTGCTAAAAAAACAAAATTGGGAGAGAACAATTACTTCTTCATCAATTGAGTCATGGTAAATATTACATTTTTAAGGATCCTTTCATGGTAAAATCTTTGTTGCGCATAAGAAGGGACTCGCGTGAGCAAGCATATAAAGTTCGGCAATCAGTCAAATCTCCAGCTCAAGAGACTGAGGTACATCTAGTGTATCAAAGGGCACAAGTGTCCCCTCACTTTAACCACATCATGTAAACCATGACTACACTCACATTTTTGGAGAATAAAAAATAATAACTTCAATTATTAAAAGGGTTTATCGTATGAAACAAGGTCATAGAAGGAAACTTACTTTTCATAGAGTTCCATAATTTTCACCTCCAGATCATTATCAAGAACAAGGGGTTTCCTTCTTTTTTGTACCCTTTCAGACTCATCTTTGACAAAAAGCCCCACACTGCAACATAGAAGCACTGAAAAAAAATTCCTAAACAGAAAGATATACGATTACAAATATGAATGTATTCTGGAATCCATACTTTTCCAGATTTCCATTCCCATCAATCCCACCGTTCGAAACTGATGTACTGCTTTCCTTCCCTCTTTCAGAACTTCCATTGCTTCTTCTCATAATTGTAGCTTCATGAGGGTCCTCCTCCCTAGACATCAATAAATGGCACACATCATCTTGAAAGACAGTATTCCCACTAATGTTTTCACAGTAATGAAGAAATTGCAAAGCATTTGTGGCAATATCATTAGATGCAATCAAGAGAAGATCATCAAAATTAACAAGACACTTGCATGAATATGTACGAAACATGTATATGCAAACCAAAAGAACATCATAAATGGCCTTAAACCACAAAATAATGATAAAAAACATGCAAGAATAAGTCTCTGGCATTTTGGCTAAAATTTTTAGGGCTTTCTACCAGGAAATAAAATGAAAAGAATGACAGGAAATGATGATAGATTAGCTCTTTGAGATTTATGATCATGTCTTACTTTTGGCCTTCTATCCCTTGTAATACCGAAAAGTCAGCTTCATCGTCACCTAGTGCATCAGCTATGCTTCTTCGAAACCAGCCTTTGCCTTCAGATGGACAAATTTCTCCATCTCTGGAAGCACTTCCCCATTTTTTGCATTCTTTCTTCAAATTTCCAATCTCATTCAGTAACGATTCACAATTAATGTGATGGCATTCTTTACGAGTCTTCCAGAAGAGACTTTCAACAAAAAGAAGGGGATGACTCTTCATTTTCCTCAGCATTCTCCTGACCAAACTTGTCAAAAAGCAAACAATGTCCTCATATTCCTTGCACGGACTTGACTTCTCCTCAACCAGGATATCATAGAATGTAGCAAGAAGTGACAACTGCAACAAATTGTCCACAAAAACATAAACCTGAAGTCATTATCAAATCCAATTTTTATTCTCTTCTCTTTTTTTTTTGCAGGTTATGACTTATCAATGATCTTACAATAAACTGGTTTTAAAACTTTACCTGGTATAACATTGGAGAAAGTTCCAGATCATCACAGATCCTCTGGAGGACTGATATAATGTACCGATTCGTACTGGTGGAATTGCTTTTATAAAACTTCAGCAACCAACACAAGTTCCTAATGATGACGTTGTTTGCAAGAGAAGAAACCAAAGTAGATACCTTAAAATCAACTTCATCTGTAACAGCTAGCCTTTCGTCACCAGATGAATCATCTGTTCCAGAATGAAGTTCATCATTGATAGCGCCGGACCTTTGGTTTGCCACCTCTGGCATATTGCTTCCCAGATTTGCCATCTCCAGCTCAGATGCTTCATGCTCATTAGCCTCACCACGAATTATGACGTCATCTTCTCCTTTCCCATCAGAATCAGGATTCCTTAACATTCCCTTTTCTAACATGCTCAAATCTACAGGATAAGGAGAAATGCCAATGTCCTTCTGAATGGAACCATGATCTCCAACTGTTGCATCAACATTATCCTTCTTGTCATTCAATGCTTTCTTTGTTCTTTTCTTTCTCGACTTTCTAGATACCTTAGTCACAAGTTTTAAAATTTTAGATGTACATTGCAGCAGACCAATACTTAAAAGCAAGAAGAGAGAGGTTGAGATCAACTCAGCAAAGACTTGTCCCTACATTTTTGGGGTCGGCTACATCAATCCTATTTCAACATAGATCACTCATCTCTACAGAATACACCTTACTTGCGAAGAAGATGCCTTCCAACTACAGTTGATGCGTATAATACCTTTCTTGAATACAATAATTAACTAACACAACCAACAACAAATAACTTTGAAACTCACATAAATTTGCGGTAGTGAGAGTGACCTTAATAACGGACCTTTCTCGTCCAAAGAAAAGAGTATGTAATTATGTTTATCACAAGCAGTAGACTAATAAGCTATAGACTGTTAAACAGGTGCATGTAGGAACACACTGCGCAATGCATCGTATAATGAATGCTGTTTAAAGGTATATTAAGAATGATAGGATGATTGTGGTTGCCACGTGTCTTCAGTGCCACATATTATCTCAATTCTCAATTGGCCCACAACAGATTGAAATGGCAAAATGAGATTCATGTAAACTGCCCAAAATCCAAATAACTCGGACGAAATTTGTCAACTAAGAATTGATACAGCACTGAGAACAAAAACAATGGTATGGACCACCTAACTGTATCAGTGCCCTTTTTCACTAATTTCTCATAAAGGTTAAGTGGTAGCTCCAACAGGTTGGCTAAGAGGGCACCGGATCAAAATTTCAGAATTTATTTATTGTAAACAGAAACAAAACAATGACGTGAAACCAGCAAAATTCTATTCGAAATTACTCTTATACAAAAATAAATGAACCAGAACATACCCTTAATGTTCCACGTGCTTGAAGGTTCTCCATGAGACGCACAACTACATATATCATTTCTACCAGATCGGCAAGATCACTAGCAAAAACAATAAAATAGCACCAATAATAACAAAATGAATCATACACAAAGCAACAATTCTTTATACAAACATAATTGCATCAATGATCTAGTCAGGCAAAATAGAATGCATAGACAAATACATATCAAAATTACAAAGACCAATCAGTTCCCATCCTATCATGAGCATGTTGTTCTTGGTGAAATCCTTTTGCATGTATAATGAATGCTAAGGATTTTGCCTCATAATCAACTATAACAAAAACAAGATTACAAATCAAAGGCATTGAGTTGCTGTTAGATTGGCTCTGGTTTTCATTGTACGGGACATAATTAGCTTATTTGTTACCACAATCTCTGTATATTCTAATGCGAAGAAAAATATAATTCACTCACGCAATTAACTACCACCAGCAAAATTGGAGAAGGCTTTGTTGGGTTGAGTTCAATTGATAAAGGCGGTCCTTGCTAATTCACAAGCAACTAATCGGAATTGAATTCGTCAAATTTGCAAGGCCAAAAGCCAGCTTATACTTGTGCAACTAGACATCCAAGAAGAAAGCAACTAAAGAACTTATATCATGGTGATTGAGCTTATAGGCATATAGAACTTGAATCATTCTTCTTGACAAAAAAGCTATAATGATGATTGAGTTAATAGGCACACAAGGGGCACAGAGCATCTATTTTGTGGAATGGTGTAGTTATGGCAATTCTTCAGGCAGGGCAGACGGAAAGAAATTGGATTCCAAAGATAAAGGAGAATAAGGGGAGATCCATTGGAATAGAGGAACGTTCTTTTCTTAACTCGTTTGCGCCATTGTTTGCACTAAATCTGGATTAGATGGCAGCATGTAATTAGACGATCATTCCCTTAGTTCTCTGATTTTTCTTTTCTATTTTCTTTTCCTTTCATGAGGTGGATTCTTATCCATTACACTGTAACTCTTCGTTTTATTTAATAATTTCCTTTCATGTCCAAAAAAAAAAGTGGAAAAAATCGTGATGTGCTGATGAACAGCATACAAATTCTCAACTTCAAGGAGTCCATACCGTAACCAGCAAAGATTATTAATTTCCTAGTTGGTAAAGACTCCAATTCTAATCCAATGAGTCAAGGCCATCAACGAGTCTTAGATCCACGTCCCCAAAAAGTAAGGATGCCGGGAGCTGTGTATTGAATATGAAACATACTGAAAGAAGTGGCTGCTCTTGTACTCAAAGCTTAGCAATGGTCCCTCAAACAACAGCCTCTACCCAAAGTTTTTTCCCGCTATTACCTCTACCCAAAGTTGGTCCTCTAATACAAGCTGCATCTGACATTTCTCATGATTTACACACACTGGATAGTCTCAAACTCAAACATGCATTTTAACTATTGGCAGATGTTTAAGACAGAAACATGTCCCAAGATATGTGGAATATCTTGTGATTAACGAGTCAATCAAATGGCCATAATCAATAGGAGGATTTACGGGTCTCTTTATCTATTACAATTCCTATAATTGTGTGTTGTGCAACTTCTACTTCACACTATATATTTGGGTGTTCCTTAACATACGCAAGATATCATGAGTGAATGATAAAGATGTAGCCATTAGTGCGTTTTATGTGCCATGTTGAGTAGGTCCTAGGACACAACCACAATATTCCTTGGACTACTTGTTCTTACATTGTCTCTCTAAGTTCTTAAAGTTTATCAGCAGCTCAATAGTTTTAGTATTGTATCATGTAGTGAAGCGGGAATGATTGCAGTAATTTTCTACTACAATTAAAGGAACAGCCCATAGATCCTCAAATTGTTAAAGTCAAGAGGAAAACCTTTTGGCTTGTTTGTGAGTATCAAACGACTTGAAGAGGTTCAAGAGGAACTGAGTCATCCCTTGGTCAGTTTGGTCATAGAATAATTTATAAAGAAGTACGCGAACTGTTTGAGCTTCTTTGGAATCTTCTGGTGATCGCTTAAGGACCAAATCTAACATGCAAATCTGCACAAACCAAAAACCAGTCCTGTTAGAAAGGGAACTATAAAGATACAACCAATTTGATTATGCTAACACAGCCAAAAGCATGGAACTAAGGAAGGACACAAACATAGACATAAGATATCCAATGGTTGGTAACTTGTACAATTGTAATACAACAATCTGTAGGTTGTATCAAAATCAATAAAGTGCCAAGTCTGAACAGAATCGCATGATCAGCATAATCTAAAAGGACTAAATATTAGCCATTACCACATAAGAAAAAACATGCTTGATAATCCTTAATGGAGGATTAGTCTGCCATTTTACCAAGTGTGTTCAGCTAAAGACGTGGTATATTCTCTCACCATATGAACTTTATACACATTCCAACAGTTTCTGAATGTTGCCCAGAAAAGAACAAACTAAACATTATTTATCCATGGCTAGCTGCTTCAAAAAAATTATAGATTGAAGTAAAAATTTGATGTCCAAAGGGCAAAAGCAGTGCAAACTGGGTGTGATGTAAGATAATGAGGCAAAAAGGCTCAAATACCAACAGAGGGGTAGCAGTGGATACAAAAATGTATTGTTTTGGGGTCTCTCTGTGTGTGTGTTGGGGGGGGGAGGGGGGGGGGGCAACTGTTAAGTCTGGTATTCATGATGATGCTTATATGAAAATCCCGTGCACTGTGATGCTTTTCTCTTTTTCCTTTTTTCATGTCCCTTATGTCAGCATGGTCGTGAAGCTGGTATGTACCATGTGACAGCCTTTGCACAATACTCAACACTTAATGGAATACAGAAAAATTTTTTATTAAGTGATGGGATGTGATCTCAGGGTTTTGTATGATAGTACATACGGCAACCAGGAGCTCTAATTCGGTATACTGTTATACACAAAATATACATATAGCAGAGAGGGGTCAGCTCTGATTCCTAATCCTCTCTTAATTAATATAATGTGTTTGTTCAACATATAAAAGTAGACACATCATGATGCCAACAATGAACTGCTAAACGACATGAACATAAAGAAAACTTTTTGTTCAAACTCAAGCAGGTGAATGTCCAAGTATTTTATTAACATTCCAATGCATATTTATGTGTATGCACAGGCATGAAACTATAAAAGCACCATCTTATAATTTTAGTCAACAAAACTGAACTTGTGATGTGGATCAGGCTATTGAAAAGGTATAATCACCATAATTTTCATGAGAGATCCTGCTGAAGATATAAATTTATAGTCATTTGTCTCCTTCAAGCCATCAAATGCATTACGCCACTTTAAAATGACTAGTAGAAACATTGACTCATTCATCGATGCAGCAATTGGTCCACACATGCTGCCTTGGAACTGTGTGCTTTCGGCATCATGATTCATGAAAGCTTCAGATGTTTCGGCTTCAATATTAGGCTGCTAGAACAGAACATATGAGCAGTTAAATAATATGAAATAAAGGGAGACTATGAGATGAAACCATGGAAATTGTAAACAGATGAGTAACAAGACATCAATTGGATTAGTAAATAGAGAATCAAAATTGGGTGGGCACACCATAGTTCCCCACATTGTTTAGACTCCCACCATCAAACAATTTGTGTATATTTCAACTCGGAAACAATTCATGCTAAGCACTTCATATTTAACAGCCATAAGGTTAGCATTTCCCAAGAACATTCATGGTACAAAACTTCCTTCCTTAAAAAATTACATCAACAAATATACGTTGACCATTACCAACATGACTCCACAAAACAGTAGATGCCAACTACTAAGGGACAACCAGAAAAAACCTTCTACACAAAGCAGCTCTTGTTATCATCACAGCCTTTATCAAGTATAAGCCTTCATGTCTTTCTCCTAGAAGCTCAATGAACACTTTCTTGGCCTTTTTACTAGTAATCAGTTAACATTTAAGATAATTAACCTCCAAAACCATCATTGGACATAAATTTCAAACGTTTTACGGCTTGCCTAGATCTCGTATTTCCCACGTAGTCCGTCGGTCAAACCAACGTTTCTCCATAAACTTAGACTTCCTACTTCCTATAAACTTTCTTAGAATGTGTATATCGTCATTACATAAATGAAAAAATAAGTTCCCTAACTTAATAATGAATCATTAAAGAAATTAATGAAGTATATAATATTTTAAAAGAAAATTGTATAACCACCATTCATGTTCACTTATGACAAATGCATAAGCAAATGCAAAATTAGTTGATAGTCATTATCAATAATCATGAATATAACTTTCCCAATGAGAACTAATCATTTAACAACTCATTTAAATGATAACTGATTCAAGCAATTAACTTAGTAAAAACAAGAATCTGCATCAAATAATCTAGGATAACATTTACACATTGCTAATATGCAAAAGAACAGATTCTTAATGAAACACTGTAATATACAAAAGTTATCAAATTTATCCACTGAAAGAAAATGAATATCAACTCATTTTAGAAGCCCTAATGAAAACTCAATTGGATTGCATATAATTTCTCACCTTTAGAATCAAGAACTTGTGATATTGAAAAGAGGTGACAAATTGAGCAACATGAAAGAAAATGACGACATCGCTTTTCTGAACAGCATGATGTTCTTTTTCAATATCCTCACAAACTGACTGCATCAGAACTACCAAGCAATGAGTAAACGGTAAGAAACCAGCTGTAATATGAAACTGAAAGGAAAAATATTAAGCATATACAGTCCATTTCACGTGTAAAACCATACCATTGTAACCTCCTGATAAAAATTGGTTAACAAAATCACAAAGCAACTCCAGAATATCATCCCTTGTCGATGATAGTCTTCCATGGTCCCACACCGTTCTTTTTGATGGACCTCGAGGATTTTTATGAGCTTTGAGCAGTGTATCACAAGAAGCGGAACATGGGTTTCCCTTGAATAAAGTTTTAGAACCATCCTGTTGAAAAGAACTCCTAAAGTTACTAAAGTTAGAGACAAAACATTCCCTGAATTAATGCAGCAGAAACCTCATACCATAGTAAGCCGGGTAAATGTTCCACTAAACTGCAAATAAGAGCTCCTATTGCGAAGTCTGGTGAGCTTTCTTTTTTCTTCTTCCTCTTCCATAATAGACTTGAGACTATTAAGAGAAGCTTTGGCATCTCCATCCACCTAATGGACAAAATCTCATTGTAAGCACAATACCACAGGTAACTCCCCATCACAAAAAGTAAAAAAGAAAGAAAAAGGAAATTACAGAAGAAGATTTTAGAACTATGAGCATACCATTGCATTATAGTTGCTATATTTTGTTCAAATGCAGGCATGAGAGATGGCAGCACAATGAGTCAGAAATAAAGAATAAATGCACCAAAGGGGATACAAACTTTGCTAACCTATATTATCATACCCAAATTATGTCTATGCAATTCCATCTCTACTCCAGCAAAGTTCTTTATATTTTTCCCTATATTTTTCAAAACCATCACAAACGCTTACTAGTTATTGTTACCAGAGACAAAATGCAGAAAACAATAGAAAGAAACCAACCTTTGAGCCACATAGATTTGCTTTGGCAATCAACTCTGGGTCCTGACCCATAAATATGTAGTGGAAAGTTTCCAATAAAAGCAAGTTATCGTGACGAAGATAACCACAAGAATCATCGACATGCTGAGATAGAACTAAGATCAAGTCCATCACATTTTCCTGGAACAACACCTCTAAAAACCTATCTCTGAGGGACAAAAATTGTGTGGCAGATCCCCCAGCTTTCTGCTGTGTTGAGATGTCGTGGACAGCTAGAATGTTACGAAATAAAGTCAGCACCAACTGGACCAATTTCCAGTCCTCTTCTGTAAATAATTCTCTGCTCCGCATAAAGTTTGTCACAAGATCAATGATATGTATACAAAACAACAAAAAATTGGGCATGTAAAAGCAGTAAACGATCTGAAGAAAAAAGGAAGCCAAGAAAGAAGAACAATGTCAGTAAGGGAAATGTTGAGGTATAAGAAGCAAGTAGTATTCAAATATAACAGCTTAAGAAAAGGCACATCGAGTTAAATAATGAATATGTCTTCTCTTCTATTTCTTTGCCCATCCCACACTTGAATTCACATTTGATTGATTAATGAGCGTTGAGTACCTAATGTTGAACCTTAATTCATACATGAGACCACATAAGCAGAGTGGTGATTTTCTCCTACCAGTTAAGTTAAATAACCAGGGCGTACCTTAGCACAGTGCTAAGACTACTCTATTGTGACTTGGGTGTCATAAGTTTGAGCCACACAAACACACTCAGGATGCATGTGTAGGCCTGCATATATCTGACCCTCCACAGACCGTACAGTGGCAGGAGCCTCGTGCCCTAGACTGCTCTTTTTAGTTACTCTCAAATGGCATAAATTTCTAATTAAGAGGCAATTTTAGAAATAAAATAGTTTCTACCAATACGTAAGTTAATTTAAAACAGCTCAAATTATGTCTTGTCGGAGAGATTTCAAATAGAAAGCATTAAAACTGTCCCGAAATATAAAGTTTCATGCATGTGCGCTAGTGGATAAATTTTGCTCCATTTCCCTATCAGAGTCATGATGTTAAAATTCCCAAAAAAAACTTGATTTACGGGTAAAAAAAACATGTAGGTACTCTCTTATCCTACATTTGTCACAATATGAAGCAAAATGCACCTACTACCACAAACTGGAGGCTCTTTCAACAACATGCCTCTTGCTCAGGAATTACAAGTATGACAAACAGTTTAGGACATTTTTCTTCTAACGCATTATCCCTGATTAATACAGAGATAAAATGAATTATATCTTGAATCATATGGCCACATAAAAACATTTTTGAACTAAAAGTTCGTGTTTTCTCAAGTAGCACATCACCATGGTGAGGATTAAATCCAGTATTGAAAAGGGCTACCAAAATTTAATAAATCCCACTAACCGTTCCAAATTTTCTAACGGACTCTCCATAAGAGTGACTATCACTGCAACAGTGTCACTAAGAGTAATTGAAGACTTCAACCCCCAGAGATAATCTAACTGCTGTGGTATATCGTTGGAAGCAGGCTCAATAGGCATAGTAAGAAACACCAGAACCTTCACTACAAAATCATATGGAAACACAAAACTAATAAATACAGCGTGCCAATAAACATCATCCTTTTGTGCTTAATCCAGAAACATGCAACGGATAAATATACAAATAATTGCCTGCATTTAACACCAGATTACGATCATCTTGGCAATATTCGATAATAGGTATCAAATCTTTGCCCGCAATATTCCATTTACAAACTTGCTTGAACACTTCTCGTGATTGTGGATCATCTCGCCTCAAGAACCTCAGCAAATCCTTCAAATTATCTGCCAATAAAATTGAGCACAAGAAAAATTACAAATCAACTACACCATCACTGACAGATTTAAATTAAAATCAACAAAATCCTAAAATTACAGAGGTACCTAAGCAATACTCGTCTCTTGTATAACCGATTCGATTTCCGTCTTCGTCCTCTTCAATGAGTCCGATACCAGCACATATAGTAGATAAGCCTTCCATTTCTGTGAATTGAACACTTCAAATTCTGTAGTTACTTTTTCAAAGTGTTCGAATCAGGATTCAAGGTATTTCAGAATGACGGAACAAAATGAGATTTGTGGGGTGCAATTAGAACGAAGAATCAGATCTGACGCGAGTAATTTTTTGGGGATTGAAGCTGGGGCTCTATGGCGCCAAACCGTACGCAAATTTTCCCGCGCTTTTGAGGCATTTTGGGCTGCGACTTAACTGATAAACGGGGGAGGCGTCATTGGACTTGGTCCCACTTGATCCAACGGAGATTGCACTGGGTTGGACCCGAGTTTGGGCTAACCGGGTAAAATTTAGGACCATAACTCGCATAGCTCTAAAGCCCTAAAGCTTGATGAACATTTTGCGATGCAAGCCTCAATTACAAAATCAAATGATTTGTATTTCGGCTTAATTTATCGGTCTAATTTATTTATAAATTTTATTAGATACTAAATTAATAACTAATCTCATCTAACTCAAATTATTTGTATTTTGGCTTAATTTATCGGTCTAATTTATTTATAAACTTTATTAAATACTAAATTAACAACTAATCTCATCTAATATTAAGATACAATGTTAATTTAATAATATGTATATATTATTTTTTATTATTATATCAATAAATTACGTCCAAATAATATTACTCTTACAAACCATCCAAATTATCAATCATTCCCAATTTTTATAATATTTTTTTAAGTACGAAAAAACAAAAATCAAAAAATAATAGTATGCTTGTTAAAAAAATTTGTCTATAATAACATAACACACACATCCGTTAAGTAAACACTACTTAAGACATTAAAAAAAAAAAACTTTAAAAAGGTATCCAATGATATCATAAGATTACCATGCCTAATTCTATAATTATTTTGATAGGAAAATATATATTTGCAAAGCTCTTTTTTTTTTTTTTGGAAATTTAGTGGCATTATAATTCGTGCCATACGCAATATTAGAGAACCAATAACTAAGAAATAAGCCAAATTAAAACTCAACCTCGTTAGCATTAAACATTCTACAACCATCCTTACAAAAAACGAAGAAAAAATTTGTTGCGTTTATCACAAGTAAAAAAAATAATATTTTGATACTGGTTCCCAAAAAAAATATAGATTATAAATATCCCTACTTTCTCTTTTTATTTTCAATCAATTGTAATTCCTCTCCCTACAACTTTTCTAAATTATCTATAACAATTGTAAATTTACATTTTCATCGTTTATTTTCTTCATTCCCATATTGTTTGTTTTCACCGGGTTACTTCTTTTTTTCTCTAAAAACTTTTTATTTTTATTTTGAAAAATTTACTATATCTCTGATATTCATTATAAGCGCATCAAATGTGCCTGATTTCAGGTATTAGAAAAAACAAAAGGGTAAGATTAACAATTGATTTAATGACTAATATTTAACTGTTAAACTTTAAAACTTGGGTTGTTATCTATCACCCTCCTATAAAAAGTGAGGGTATAATAGTCTTACAAATAAGACATTATCGAGTTTTTAGTTTGAAAAATGATATATAATTTAAATAAAATTTTAAAAATTATAACTTAGATACATATCATCTCTTGAATAATTATAGAATGAGTGAGTTATACTGAAAAAATTAATAAAACTTACTCGTTCAAGAGACGAAATGCATTTGGGAAACAAATTTTTTAATTTCATTAGTTGATCAAAAAAATAAATTCATTTAAATTTTGTAGAATTACTCTTTTAATTTTTTCCTCACGTAAATCTTTTCCCTTTACAAAACAAACTTCTTTATTTTTTTCTCTGAAAAGTCCAACCGTTTTGAATAAAGTTGAGCGGACCTTTTGGTTTCTTTCCTTCGATACAAACGAAGCCGTTCTCCTCTTCCTTTTTCACTTCCGCCAAATTCAGCCGCGATTTCTTCCACAGCTACTTTCAGAGACCTCTACACACGATTTTTAATCATTTCATTGTCTCTTCCATTCCTCGAATTCAGTTTCTTTCTCAAGCAATTTTCGAATTACATTTCTCTATCTGAAGTGTTTAGCAATGGCGCAAGTAGTGGCCACACGGTCGATTCACTGTTCATTTGCGTGCCCTAGCTCTGGATATCTTCAGAACCACGTCGAAAAGCTCAAACCTTGTGGTTTCTCTTCCAAGGTTCTGGCTCGCGAAGAACAGAAAAGCTGCAAAACTATCCGCATTAGTACTTTGATCACTGCCAAGAGATCAGTCGAAGTTCTTCCCGTGTCGCCCGAAGATGTGCTAAAGGTCGTATCTTCAACTCCACTTCGTTTGATCGCTATATAGTAGTTAATTGTTTTCGTACTGATCGTAGTAATTCGAGTCCATTTGGATTTAATTGAACCTGTTTTAGAGTAGTTCTACGTGTCAGATTTGGCGGTTGCATGTGCTTTGAAAGATCGGGAATTGAAAATAAATATTGGATTTTGGCTGGAGTTTTGGTGTATGACGTGTTTTCGAATGAACAGAATATTTTATTTTAACTTTGGAAGTGTTTACGATCAAATCAAATGCTTGTTACGGAAGGAGGACACACTTGCTGATCACAACCTCGCCGCAAATTCTCAGTAGCTATTTCCTTGTCACTGTTGTTCATTTTGTGATCAGACCGAAGAGCAAATCCAGCATTTACGGGGAATTCAGCAGCTTGATGACACATCTGGCGGTATGTGGTCTAGGCCTACGGTTAGACGTAAGACTAAGATTGTTTGCACAATCGGTCCTTCAACCAACACTCGGGAAATGATATGGAAGCTGGCTGAGGCTGGAATGAATGTTGCTAGAATGAACATGTCCCATGGAGACCATGCGTCTCATCAGAAAGTTATTGATTTGGTTAAGGAATATAATGCCCAATCCAAGGACAACGTCATCGCGATCATGCTCGACACCAAGGCAAGTTATAACTTCATGTTTGCTTTTATTTTGATTGGCTCATTCTATATTAGGTTACTGGATAGGCTGGATGATCAGAAAAGAAGCTGCTTGGTTATGTGGTACCCAAGTTGTGGCTGAACATAGAGTTCAATATGTCCTTCTACATATGGTAAAAATAACTCCAACCCAGCTGACTAAAATGGCTAGTCAAAATATATTTAAATATTATATTCTCCGCTTTAGTCCGTCACTTTTACAAGTTTACTCAAATTGCACTCTCTATTTTAACTAACTACTTTAATTAACTTTCAATAATATAATTCAAAAAAGCCATGTGGTCAAACACATCAGCAGCATAATGATGACGTGACATGATGACGTGTTGTGCGACATCATCAAAATTTCAAATTTTGAATTTTAATAGCAATTTAACACCCATCCATTTCAAATAACAAAATCCAATTGCACGATACATATTTCATAAATTTAAGATTTTCACAAATACATTAATATTTCATAGGATCTAAATGTAAATATTCCATTATACATAAAACTAAGGGGGTTTTCGGAATTGGGGAGGGGGGGATTTCGAATGCAGAATGGGTGGGGGGAGGTGGGTTGCAGAATGGAGGAGGGAGGTTTTGGATGCAGAAGTGGCTCAGTGATTTTAGTTCCAAATTTGAATTCGAACTACTATATTTGAAGTGGTTCAGTCATGGCATTAAATGAGAGGGCTAACTAAATCAATAGTATGATAACTTATATATGAAGGAAAAACAGGTCGTCCGGTTGAATGTGGTTGCTACGTGCATAACTACTAAGCTTTTGGATCTGATAAGTCACCAAGGTCGAATAAATGGTCCTTTTGCCGATGAAAAGGACTGCATGAAATATGTATGACCAAATTCTAACATGATAGTACTAATATCTTCTTGATAACTTTATATGGTTATTGGCAGGGGCCTGAAGTTAGGAGTGGTGATTTGCCCCAACCAATCATACTAACAAGTGGTCAGGAATTTACTTTCACAATTCGAAGAGGGGTTGGCACAGCAGACACTGTCAGCGTCAATTATGATGATTTTGTAAATGATGTAGAAGTGGGTGATATGCTTCTTGTTGATGGTATGCTGTGATGCCTTCTTCCATCGTACTTGGTCTCTTTAGTCTTAAATGAACATTGTTACTACCATCACACATGAAAGTTTCATATGAACCAGAGAGCATATTGCAGCTTCAATATTCTTCATTGTTTTGAAATCTCCGTGTGCCAATCATATCAAATATGGTGGATGTTGTTGAATGAAAAGACAAAAACCCTAGTTTTAGCATTCATGGAATTTGGTCTTTGGTATCTTGCAGCCCTTCAAAGTATATTTATTCATGCTCTGCTGTGTCTTAACAGCACCCATAGTAAAGTGTGTATTTTCAGGCTAATGGAACTATATAGTTTCTGAGTACTGGAATAAATACTGTCATATCATATGAAGATACCAGGGGCAACCCATGCTTGAAGGCACGGTGCAACGTAAGTGACAAGAGATGTTACTGGCCATTGGATGAGTCTATTTGAGATCGTCGGATGGGCTTATTGAAGCCTCTCTCCCTTGTTTTATATTATAGATATATATTATAGATGATATTTTTAGGTCAACTAGCGAGGAGAAGTAAAGTTGAGATTGACCACCAGTCGTGTAAAATTTTCAATCTGGCATTCACTTCCTGCAGCTAAGAGCTCTAAGGACCTTCAGTATGAATTTGCTCTGTTTCATACAAAGATATGCTGATAAAAGACTATCATGAAGTAGAGATGAGATTTTGATGTCAACGTAGAATGGAGCCATAGGTGACACTTGCTTGGGTTCAGAAATTAGAACTTTGTAGGATCCTTGGGCGGCACTTTCCACCTTATTTTCTCAGGGTATTTGCCCAATACGGATTATCATGGTGCCAAGGATTTCAGTTATGTTGGTGATTTAGATCCTGTTTCATACTCTGACTTTAAGGGCTTCAACTCTTCATAAATGGACTGGCTGATTTCATTGTCTTGATGAAGTAAACAAATTCAATATCAGAGTAGCTTTCATTTTTCCTTTGGTGGGTGTTGCTGAATATTTCTAGTATTTTGTAATTTTTTGTATGTTGTTTTGGGTTCTTAGAGAAGACTTATAAATAGATCATGAAATTACCTGATTTCAAGAGCATTGGAAAAATTTTGCAGCTTTGATTTGGACGCACAGCTGACTCTTGAACTGTGTTGTAGGTGGTATGATGTCATTAACAGTGAAGTCCAAAACAAAAGATTCAGTGAAATGTGAAGTTGTTGATGGTGGAGAGCTTAAATCTAGACGACATCTGAATGTTCGAGGAAAAAGTGCTACGCTGCCATCCATCACTGGTTAGACCCCAGAATCCAAATTTCAATTTCACCATATCTACAAAGTTGTCCTTTTTATGCTTTTGTTTTCATGTGCAAGACCACTAAGTTGTTTGTTCTGCGAATGAACATAACCATGAATACGTCTTTGCAACAGAGAAGGACTGGGATGATATCAAGTTTGGAGTGGACAATAAAGTTGACTTTTATGCTGTTTCCTTTGTCAAAGATGCAGCAGTAGTCCACGAATTGAAGAATTACCTGAAAAGTAAACATTATACAATACATATCTTATGATTAGGCAGTACATATTAATGAGAAGCTTGTTATATATACTGCTTCAAGTCTTAACATCTTTTGTCTTTTTCTGAAGAAATAAAATAAGATTGTTTTGGTAGGCCGCGATGCAGATATACACGTCATTGTGAAAATTGAAAGTGCAGACTCTATACCAAATTTACATTCAATCATAACTGCTTCTGACGGGGTAATCACCTGAATCTGTGCATTGTTCCAATCTCTTTTTATTTCTTTTTGCTTTTGTAAAGAAAAAGGATGGCATTGTTGCTTTTGAGCAAAAACTGGGTATCAGGAGAAGTTCAGTGCTTGTAGCTAATATCTTGGATACTTTGGTATCGAGTGAGTGGCTATGACCTGAACTGCTTTCATCTGATTAGTTGCATTGTCGAGTTAAGCAGTTTTTGTATGCAAATGATCTGTCCTCCTCTTATGTCTTCATTAACATATATATGTTGACAGGTGTATTTTTTTCTTGTCTCAGGCAATGGTTGCCAGAGGAGATCTTGGAGCAGAGCTGCCAATTGAAGAGGTTCCATTGTTGCAGGTACTGCCTTCATTTGTTGATTGAAGAGTGATGATACTATGATAGGGATAGCATAGTACAGAGATGAACATTTTCCCCCTTGTGAAATGTAGGAAGAGCTTATCAGGATTTGTCGTAGTATGGGGAAAGCTGTTATTGTGGCAACAAATATGCTGGAAAGCATGATTGTTCATCCTACACCAACCCGAGCAGAAGTTTCAGACATTGCCATTGCAGTTAGAGAGGGTGCTGATGCAGTTATGCTTTCTGGAGAAACTGCTCATGGAAAGTAAGTTACTTTTCCCTGTTCCTTCCTTGAACTTTCGGCAAATGATTGGGAAGTTGTGTTTGGGAGAAGGGAACAGCACATTCCACCATATTGATTTCTGTAGAATTTTGTTCGACAGAGTGAGACGTGTCATGTAGCTAACTTCTTTTGCTGGAAGAAAACGAAATACAGAGTGGGAAAGTTTTTTGGATTGAAGTTTACTGTACTCATAGAAATACTTATCAAATTGGTTCTTTGAACGTGCATTCAATTGTTGTTGTTATACTGTTTTGTGTTATTTAAATAGAATTTAGGGTTTCTTGTAATTGATTTTGAATTTTTGATGACATGGTTAATTTTGAGTAGAAAGAATAAACAAAACCCCTTTACATGTCTCACTTCCATGCAGGTTCCCTCTGAAAGCTGTCAAGGTCATGCACACAGTCTCATTGCGGACCGAAGCAACCGTGGTTGGTGGGGAAACACCACCCAATCTTGGCCAAGCCTTTAAGGTTATGTCCAATCTTAATTTATAGATTTTGAGTTCTTTGTTATCTAGGTGTATATATGTACATATTACGGGTGTAAAACTGCTCATGTCAACCCTGAATGCTTGACTCTTTTTTTTTTTTTTGTGCAGAACCGTATGAGTGAAATGTTTGCATTCCATGCAACAATGATGTCTAACACTCTTGGAACCTCCACCGTTGTCTTCACCAGGACTGGTTTCATGGCCATCCTATTGAGCCACTATCGACCTTCTGGCACTGTATTTGCCTTTACAAATGAGTGAGTCAATAACTTTGGAGTGAACTCATGATTAATATTTTGAAAAAAAAATTCTACATTTTCAAAAATGAGGCCGTGCTATCATGAAGGCGTTTTAGTTGGTTGGAATGATAAAGTTTGGATTTTTTATGGAATTTTTCTGTTGTATTTTTGTTTCTTCATACTAATGATTGTTGGACAAGAATCCACAAATTGACCGAATTCTGATCCCGTGGACTGGTGTGCAGGAAGAGGATACAACAGAGGCTTGCTTTGTACCAAGGAGTTTGCCCCATATACATGGAGTTTTCAGATGATGCTGAGCAGACCTTTGCAAATGCTCTGTCTTTGTTGCAGGTGAGGTTTCATTGTTCATATTTCATTGATTACATTTTATATGGTAACTGATCCGTACATGTATCAGAACTTGATCATTGCTAAGCAGTGTCTGATGCTTTTAATCTGCTGTTAAATTTGTGGTTATAGAATGTGAATCTTCATACTATTTGAGTCTCATAGTGTAACAGTTTGATCTTTTTCTTGCATCTTTTCTGTCAAATCTGATTGCATGTTTTCATTTCTGGGTCTAAACATATATGACATTACATTAAATAGAAGATGAATTTTCATGTACAGAAGCAAGGGATGGTGAAGGAAGGAGAACAGGTAGCTCTTGTTCTGAGTGGCAGGCAGCCCATCTGGAGATTCCAATCCACTCACAATATCCAGGTCAGAAAAGTTTAGATGGCAACCAAGATTCTAGTGCCCATGACTACGATCTCTACCCGCCCTCAAGTTATATTGGATGGTGATCGTTTCATGATTCAACCCACTATGTAGGCATGAAGTTGCTTGGTGGACAACCCTTTCTTACTTCTACTTTCTATTTACCTGTCACTTTGCATCCATTTTTTTTTTTTTGTGGCGATTTGTCCTTTGTTGTTTATCTTTTTTTAGGTGTATTTGGAGCTTATAGTGAGCTCACAGTAGAATGAAAGATAATATTGAGAAGCTATTTCTTATCTACTGTCTTTCTTTATACTGGGAAAAGCACAAGGGTGACCACAATTTACAGACCTAGGTATAATTGTCATGTCCAATATTTAGGTTTAGTGAAAATATACTTTGCCCCTTGCCGTAAAACACTCCTAAAATCAGCTTGAACCATAACCTATCGAGCGAAATCTTGCTCACATATTAAACTATTGGAAGCCTTCTTGTTATTCTTGAGTAATTGCACTCCATGAGGACATTCAATGAAGATCAACAACCCCATTAAGATTTTCACTGTCATGATCTTGCAAAATTGTCACCCATCTCAGAGAGAGCTGTGTCATATGGCACTCCATGATCCCCTCAAAATGAACCTTGTGCAAGAAAAGAGTGAGTCATCTCTATCCGCAATTACCTTCATAAGGGATGAGAATGAATCATTGTGCCAAATTAAATTTTGTTCGAACTACGGAAGTACTATTGATAATTGTATATATTTTGGGTACGTGTTGTATTGAGTTCATATCGTGTATTAAACAATGTTTACTCATTTAGACAGCTCTAAACGTCTAATACATCTTAAAATTACTGGTTTAAAATAGGGGGTCACTTCTAAGATGGGCCTAAACTTCTAATACATCTTGAAATTACCAGTGCAAAATGGGGTGTCACCAAGCTATTGCAACCACAGGTTTTTCTTCAAACTACTAGGACCATTATCATCTCACTGATTTGAATTGCACGCATCAAGTTCTTGTTAATCTTCGAGAATAAGGTCAAGTCAATTGCGAGGGTATATTCCACAGCTAAAGGTAAGCTACGTTGCCGCTCCAAATCATCTTCGGAGAAGAAGACTAGTAAACGGAATTAAATCTTGCTGTCTTTCACTCCACTGGGATGTTCGGGTACATCTATTCTTTCTTTCTTCAACTGAATGGGTCTCGAAAAAACGTAGAATTTATTTCGTTTTTTTTTGCTTTCGGTCTAACTTAACTGAATAATAATAGGTTGGACTAGAATCATAATTTAACTCAACAAAATCCTATCTCAACATTCTTAAGAAAGCTATGTGAATTCAAATTTTCAATTGTGCTCAAGAAAGAGCCATAGTTTCTATTAAACGAAAAATATCATAGATATATTTTTTAGGCTAAATTACATTTGCTTTCCCTGAAGTATGGTCAAATAGCAACGAGACTCTCATGTATAAAATATAACACTGATTCCCTTCTGCTTTAGTTGTCTATAACATATTCTCCCAAAAATCAATGAATCGTTAACACTTAAGTTATAATGTCGATGATGTAAGCAACTTACTTTTATAAAATATCAACATTACCCTCAATGGACCCACTTAAACATTTTTAATGGACATTCTTTCTTTTAGAGCATTTTTAACCAAGATTTAAATTTTATTTAAATTTAAATTAATATTTAAATAAAAAATTTGATTTGATATAAAGAATTCTAATGAATAAACTTAAATTTAAAAAAAAAAGATAATTATTAAATTTTTAAATGAGAGTAGAATCTCACAATTAAATATTTAGATAAAAATTTAAATCTTTCTGATTTGAGGAAAAAAAAAATCTCTCTTAATTTGATATAAATTTGTATAAAAAGTTAGAACAACTTTTTTAAGTTATTTTATTCAAAATTAAATTTGAATAAAGGTTGAAGATGGTCTTGGGCTTAAAGGCGTATTCTTCTTCTCCGTCCGGTGGCCATCTGAACCACTGCCAACTAACAACCAGCTGTTAATCATGGCAATTACCACCATTTCATTCTCCACACCCCCACGCACCAATTGAAAAATCCATTTTTGTCAAGAATTAACACTAACCTTAGTTTTATTACATATCACTTTCTGTTGAAACCCATTATTTTGCCGAAAGAACCAATGTTTCGCTGCTCTTATAACCACAGAGAGAGAGAGAGAGAGAGAGAGAGAGAGAGTAAAACTCCTCCACCTCCCCCACTCGATCGACGACCCCACCATCAACGAGCTAAACCCTCCAACCCACACCACCGTGACCATTCCACCCGACCCCCATACAGTAACCTGCCAAGCCCTCCACCTCAGAACACGCGACAACTGATCGCACACAATTACTGTCATAACCCATCACCTCCCAATCCGACCATTGCGCTCTTTTTTGGGAGAGAGAGGAGCAGTGGAACAATCAAGAGGCAAAAAATATAAGTGATGACTGTTAAGGGTGTGAAGGTAGGTGGAGTGAGAGCGGGCAATGTTGATTTAGCTAGTGGCTGGTGGTAGTGGTTTAGTGGGTGGGTACTATGAAATTAGTGGAAATGAAGAACAAGACTTTTGGGAGGAAGACAGGCATTATTGTCATTAACGTCACTGACAGGGAAGGGAAGGTCGGCTTTATTTTTCTTACACGAGGGGTTTCGTTGTTATTTGACCGTACCTTAGGGGAGGTGGATATAATTTACCTATTTTTTTTTTATTCAAAGTTAATTTTAACCCTCTACACCTTCGATTATTTGTCAATAGTTATCACATCACATTTTTTCACCAGTGCTGTGGTAATAAACTTTCTATAAATATATTCAAATCTCCTAGTCGATTCTCTCTTAATATATCTTCTTTGTGTTATCTCTATTTTTTGAACAAATATTTTCTTTTCTAATTTTATTATTCACAGTTTTACCTGGGGGTGTTAATGGGTCGGGTTATTTGCGGATTCCATTATCAAATCCAAAAAAATAAGTATAAATTTTGATAGTTGGTCTGCTCGAATTTGAGGTCAATTTCCTTAAAAAAACTGCTTGAATTTATCCCAAAATCTATTACCCGGCCAAAAGCCCGTCCAAAAAAGCCCGTTAAATCCTGACCCAAGAACGCGCCCGCCAAGTGTAGCCCGCGCCACCCTTTCTTTGAAAAAAAATTTATATTTTTAGATCATTAAATTTGAAATTTTCAAACAAATCTTCTAATGTCGAAATTTAAAATTTTAAAAATTTAGATCTATCCAATAAGTACGCCAGTCCAACCCGTCTGATAACTCACTTAGATAAGATTTTAGGCCTATACACTACCAGCCTGACCCTAAAAATTTTTTGTAGGCCTATCGCAACCAGCCCATGAACGCCCCTAGTTTTACCACGTCTAACTTAGCCTTCCCATACTTCCTGAAAAAACTTAGCATTCTCATTTTTGACTCACTCAAATTTTTGAACGTGAGATTTCTTAGTTGCAGGATCAGAATCTGTGAATATCAAACCAAACAGTCGCAAGGAATGCATGAAAAGGGATCAGACTCTAAAGATACAAGGTTGACATTAATATTATTCAACTATCAGGGTTACAATAAAAATAAAAGACCATATTCACAATCAACAATACGAGTACTTACAGAAGACAAACCACCAACTGCAACTGGCTCCATCACGCCATACCTCTTTTCCCCTTGCATTCATTAGGGTTTCAACAATAGATAGGACAATAGAAACTTATCCACAAACACCAAACTCTAGACTAACTAAAAAGCACAAGAATGAATTCATACAGAAGATAGAGCAAGACCAAATTGAACAATATGGAAAAAGATGTGTTTGCTTAGACCCAACTATGAAGCGTAGGATTAACTTTTCCAGACTCCAATGGACCACTGACTGGTTGATTATTGCTGCTTGATCCAAAGTTGGTACTGCCTCTTAGCATTGTCATTAGGCTTCCTCCATGCACCCTGCCTTCTGGAAGTGAAAATTGGGCTAAAGAAGCATTGCCAACAGAGACAGTATCACTTGGTGGAATCTGCACGAAAATTGGCTGATGTCCATAAACCGTATAATCATTTGATGAGCCCCCACTGCCCACAGTTGTAATGCCAACTGTGTGGATGTCTTTGGCAACATCTTTCCCTTCCATCTTCTCCAGTGTGCTAAAGTGTAGGTCTTGCACTGTAGCATCCGAAGTGCCATCACCATAGATCTGTTTGTCTTGCACCTGGGCACTATGGGAAGCACATAGGCCAGATTTCCCCCTAGCGAACTTATCACAAGGAGCAGAAGCTTGGTCACCAAACTCGGACCCCAACTGACCCCAAGAACACCTTTTCCCTCCACCATGAGCCTTGCAAAAATCAGTGCTGCCTTGCGCACTTTTAGTACATCCTTCAAATTTGCACCTTCTCCCCCCACCATGGCGAACACAAAAATTTGTGCGTCCCCTTGCACTCTTAGTGCATTCAGGCATCGCACATCTCTTGCCTCCACCATGACTTACACAAAAGAAAGTGCCCCCATGCACACTCTTTGTGCATCCTCCTTCAAATGTACATCTTTTCCCCCCACCGTGGCCTTTACAGAATGGTGTGCTTCCTTCTGCACCTTTTGTGCACCCCAAAAATGTGCACCTTTTCCCCCCACCATGTGCCTTACAAAACATTGTGCTACCTTGAGCACCTTTCGCACATTCAGGAAACTGGCAACGGCGGCCACCGCCATGGGAGATGCAGAGGCCAGAGATGCCCTCGGCACTCTTAGTACAGTTTTGCATTGTACACCTTTTGCCACCCCCATGTCGGATGCACAAGCCAGATTTCCCTCTTGCAGCACGAGTGCAACCCTCATGACCACACCGCCTACCACCACCATGACCAATACAGTAGTCTGTACGGCCTTCAGCACTCTTAGTGCACCCAAGATGTTGGCACCGCCGACCTCCACCATGGGCCTTGCAAAACACTGTCTTACCTTCAGCTCCTTTTGGACAGCCGGCTCTCTGACACCTTCTGCCACCTCCATGTGCAATACAAAGACCACAAGCACCTCTTGCTCCCTTTATGCATCCTTCAAACTGACAGGTTTTCACACAGACGTTATGTTGAGGTTGCTGATGAACTACTCCTGAAGCACAGGCAACAGAACTTTTTGGCGTCACTGCAGAATTTGATGGGAGGTTAGAATTAACTGCAGTTGGCTTGATATGGCTACGTATATGGTCAAGAGGAGCAGTAATCTCTAGACTTTGCAATGGAGGCACAAGAGGCCCTAGTTTCCACCGAGATGAAGTTGATCCTTCATCCACAAGTTGAACTGTGCCAGCTATGACAGGTGACTCTGCAGTGTGCTGAAATGGAATAGACCCTTGAGTGACAGTAGTTATATCTGATTCAGCAGGCCCAGTAGATAGACTTAATTCAAGGTCCAGTTTGGGTCTTTCCACTACCAGTGCCTTGGCAGTCCCACAAGAAACATTTTTTAGCATAGGTGTCCTATAATTTCCTAAATGCAGGTTAGTACTCAGACCGAGATCAACTGAAGACTCCTCTGCAATTTCTTTCCCCGATGATAAGGTAGTGCAGGAATTTGATAAGCAGCCCAACCCGAGAACCAAAGAAGAGCCATCTTGATGGTTCACAAACCTATTATTAATATTCCATTTCCTCTTGCTTTCAGTTGAAAAATAAGAGCTCGACACCTCAGGGGAATGAAGCTGTGAGGAAGAGAATGTGGAATAAAAAGATCCAGCATCAATAACTTTGCTCAGATTTCCAGACATGTTTGGGGCAAAATTAATAGTAAAATGTTTGCCAGTGTTGTCCATGTTAGCGTAACAGTCAGCTTTCAGATTCAGACCAACTTGCAATTGTAAGGAAACAGTTTGCCAGACTTCTGGGGCCGTAAAAAGAGAAAGAAAAGGGGAACAGGATATACATAAATTATTTTCAACGCTCTCGAAAAGAATACAGTGTACCCCCGCTAACGAAACCAGATGTATCACAGCGGTCCATCGTACAAGTAAAGGAAATAACTTGACAGACTCACAATCTGCGGGACAGTGTAAATTCAGAAACACTCGTATCCTTTGCAGAAACAATCTGGCTATTAGTCATCCTGCTTCATAGCAAAATAAATTCATTAGATGGTGATTGTATTATAGACGGAGGGCAACAAATAAAGAATTCTGTGGGCCAATTAATTCTGTCAGAAGTACATGGTTAAAAGAGCTCTCTATTTTGCTCCAAAATTCCCTATGTACTCCCAACACATAAAGGTTTCAGCTTAAATCACTTTGCCAGCATTTAAAGGGGACACACAAATCCTTGAGACAAGATTTTTACCCAGTCAAATTTAAGAAAAGTGAAAATGTATAGTATGATTTGAAAATGGGTTTCTATCATCAAAGATATCACCTGCTCCATGAACAATAGGCAGTGCCACAGCAATAGACAGTGCAACATCACAAGATGAATACTACTTTCTCATAATTCCTTAAAGTATTTTCCACAATCCACATGTAATAGAATATACAGGAAAAAAAAAACCCTCCTTTAACCTCAAATATCTCCCAGAAATGTTTAAATCAGGCATCAAAATTGAATATGCAACAAAAGCTCTTGATATTAACTGTCTAATGAGAATGAAAAAAAAATCTAATTAGAGTGCAATTCAAGGGACATGCACAAGAATAATGATCTAGACAACGCACTAGCTATCAGCCTATCACACTAGCTATCCACTTTTGACTATCACATGCAAAAATAAATAAATAAATAATCAGAACTAAATGATTGCTCGAAAAACTACATAATTTGACAACTTTCAAACTTCCTCTTTATTTTTGTTGGGGCTTGGTAACAGCTGAAAAATCTCATATCACAAACCTTCATACATGACTGTACCTATTCAACAAACTCTCATGTACACAAGTCACAAATACGAAAATAACAGCTGTCGATTTATTGTTTTCTGTTTCCAAAAAGCTCTTCCTTCCCTGTCTCATCTCTGCTGGTTTTATCTAATTGGAACTTTACAGAAAAGGGGGAAAAAGTTGCATCAAACACCTTTTATTTTTGTATTTTTATGAAACATAAAGCAAACATTCAATGCCATGTATTCCAAATCAATGAAAAGAAAAGTTGAAGAACATATCTCCCCAAGCAATACTGAAAAAGTTATCACGTAAAGCATTCAACCCACGAATTTTACATCAAACTAAAGCAATTCAAACAAAACAGAGACAATCCACCACAGAATCTCTAAAATTGAATCCCTTCTCGTCAAATTGATATACAACAGTGATATTTTTCCTGATTAGCTATTTGGGCTGCTTAGAACATGAAGGAACAACATCAAGGGGAAATAGAACTTGGTTTTATTATCACCCAACCAAACACAAGTCTGAGACCAAGTTCTTATCTTTTTCCATCGTTTTCTCGGCAATCAAACAGAAGATAAATAGAACATATAGTTAAACAGAGCCCCCAGACCTTCGACAGGAGGGAGTGAATATTCGCTGAGAAAATTAAAGCTTAAAAAGTACCTTCGTAATCGAGGGGTTTACTGGTGTCCAAGATACCACCAAACACGTCGTTGGAGATATAGAGGAAACTAGGGTTTTGAAGCGCCGGCAAATCAGAGAAGAGACAGAGAAAGAGTTTTTATGAGAGAGAATACCTTTGGAGAAAATAAGAAAAAGAAATTAGAATTTATAGTTAAGAAAAAAAGGCGCATGTTAAAGTAGGAGGGCGCACGTTAAAAGGCATCGCCCATCCTCCACATGCTTGACCATTTTTATTCCCATGCGCCCTCATCCTATGATAAGGATCGAAAACTATATCAACAGTAGCTCTACATCGAGAATCAAAAAGTTTCTCATCATCCGAATATAACAGAACAAGCATTGAAAGAGAGTATTCAATATAACAACGGTATTATATTAATATTGATAATATGATATCATTAATTAATAATAAAATTTAAATTAACAAAGTGAATACTATTTAAGTAATTATTAATTTGTGTGGAGTTTATTTTTTTATTTGTCTGTAAACTATTAATTAATAATATTATATGACAATACTGACGTAATATCACTGTTGTGTTAAATATTTTTTTTTTTAAGAGAGTAGAGTGTAGTCTGTAGGGGTGTTGGTTCCTTTATTACTTTAGCTATATATATATATTGACATCTTCTTTAAATAGATATCGGGCAAATAATTTCTCTCGAATTAAGATCTTATTCGTTACTCTTTCACTTAAATTCATTTAAGAATAAATTATTTATTATAAATTCAAGTTATACCCATTAATGATGTTAAATCTAACATTTACATAAACAACATTAGAAAATTGCTATATAAACAATAAATCTGTTATAAACTTTTGTTAAGGGTCGACAAGGCAATAAAATATGAGCCATGCAAAGTAACTCAAATTTGTATCTCAAAAAGGACTATTGAATTAGTAGTTTCTATTTAAAAAAGTTGATGAGACCCGTTCATCTAATGATTCCCGTTTATTTGTGATGTAAATTTGAATTATATAATATTTTTCATAAAATATTAGAAAAACCTACTTTGCTTATACTAAATTATTTCTAGTGATGTATTTTGTATTATTTAGACGAATGTATCTTAAATTATCTCAATCGAGTAAATATTAAACAATTTATATAGAGACTTATGCAGTCAATATGATAGGAATATGAAAGCCAGATTATTGTATCAGACGGTATTGGTGTCGAGTGTATGTGAGCGCGCAGCTCAACCGCTTAGAGTGAGTGTACAAACGCCTACCACGTCAGCGATGACATATATTTCTAGCGGCTCGGAACCGTTAAATGTGCGCATTGTGTGAACCCCACGCGCAGATATTCCGTTTTGCCAGACGTGGTTATGCTGGGGCCAGCGGAAAAAAGAAAATTGGTTCCACGTGGTGTGGCGGCGATTATTTATTTGGATTTAAAAATTTGACATAATTTATTGACTTAATGATATAATTTTATTGAAATTATTAGATTAACACCAACTTTCAATGTTTGATGGAGCCTACAGTCAATCCAAAATTTATAGTAAATTAATTCAACAAATTAAGTCAATAAATTAAATCTCAATAACAATGCTCTTCGTATAAACTTGCCTTAATTCTTGTCCATGTGATTAATTAGTGATATAGTAGTGTTAGGTGTATTTTTAGATCGGGACGTGCTAAAGTTTAAGTGAATTTAAGATTCAAATACGTATAATCATATCTATTTGAAATGATTTGAGATTTTAATATTGTGATCATTCAGACAATTGTAATTAGGCGTAAAGTTATCTCTGAGTTTTTTTTTATATCGTAGGTATCAAGGACGTAAATAATTTCTTAGACTAGAATGCAGAAAGATAACGAGAGTTTATCTTAAAAGATTAAAAAAGTATTATACTTAACATTAAATAAAAAGCAATAAAAATCATTAGAGCAATGAACTACAGAGAATAAAATAAAGTTGTTGGGAAGTAAAAATAAATAGCAGAAATGCTGGCTCGCTGTGTTTGATAGAGAATCTTTCCTTTGCAGTTGTATCTTTATTAATTATAAGAATGACTTTCAATTCTCGAAACCATATTTATCAGCCATGGTTATAATCATGACATTTTTCCTTTAGATGTGCAAGTGTACAATAACTGTCAAAATCACCTTAATCGGCTATGGTTACAATCATGACATTTTTTCTTGAAATGTGCAAACAGACATCGACTGTTTTCAACTTATGATATCACGTCTTCTCACTTCTTATAATTTTTAGAGTGTCACTTCCTTAAACCCAGTTAAATATAAACTCTCACAAACTCTTTTATGACTGTCGAATTAATTATTTTCATGTATTACCCTTAAATTTTATTATTTTTTGGGTGTAAACAAGTAATAATCGAATATTAATTTATATTTTTTTAGGGTTAGAATCAAATAGTTTTGGTGAAAATCAACATGAAAAATGTTAGAGAAGTGCACTTGATCCTCATTGTCAGAATAATCTCACTCATACAATATCGAAAAATAATATTTTGACTATATGGTAAAATAGTTTTCAATCATTGCTTTTGATTTAAGGTATTAGTACTCAAATGATTATAAAACTAGTAAAATAAAATTATTTCAAATTTTATGTGATGTTACCCATCTGAATTGTATTATATTAGATAAAAAAGAAAATATCAAAAATTAATTTTTTGTGATGTTACCCATCTGAATTTTGTTGCTTTAGATCTTTACTTCTTAAGGAAAGAAAAGATTTTTGTTGCAAAAGAGGTGGAGGCACCTTCACCTTTGGTGGTCACCAAATTGGAAAAAAGTTTGGTTCATTTAAAAGTGTGTTTACCTTTTTAGGTTTGAGCTCAACACACAAAGTGAGAGAGCATATCTTTCGTAATATTCCTTCCCCAACCTCGCTAGAATTCTTAATACAACGTCCTCTTCTTTGTTTTTCTTACGTTTTGAGTGGTGGTCTATGTGCCTGTCACTCACTTCAAACAGTCCTTGTTGTAAGCAATAGTTTGATGAATTAGGTATAATTTTTTTAGTATTTCTTTAATTCCAGTGTAGAACGCGTTTTAAGTCTCATTTGTCATCGAGCATTGAGCAATGGCTAGAAAATTTTGCATAGATTTGCATTATCTTGATTGCCCCCATACGAATCTATCGGCCTCAACCTATGCTTCATATGATGGATTGAATTTTTTGTATCTTAACCCATCTCACCCAAATCCACTCAAACACTTATTGTATGGGTTATATATATCATCCAACCCAAACTATTGTTTGGCGAGGAATAATTGAATTGGATGGACTTTACCTTAACTTTTATAGATATTTACTATTATACCCATTGATAATTTTTTTTAAGCTCCCATAATATAAACAACAGATTGAGGTTTCCCCCAAAAAAAAAAAAAATGGTACTTCATGTTCACCCATAAAACCAAATGAAGAACATATCTGAGGTTTTAAAAAAAAAAAAATTGGTGCTTCGTGTTCACCCATAAAACCAAATGACGAGCAGATATGAGATTTCAATTCTAAAAAAAAAATTTGGTGCTTCGTGTTCACCCATAAAACCAGAGAGAGAGAGAGAGAGAGGGATGCAGAAAGTTTGTTGATCTCACAATGATGCTCCAGCCCCCTTCTTCATCGTTGTTGTGCATCACCTTCGTCGTCGCCTCTAACCCAAACCCCCGAACGAGCTTAGCTCTGTGTGTATAGTTGTGTGTGAGTGACAGGGAAAGAGAGGGACAAATGGGTCTTGCGGAGGGTTAACCTGCTGCTTGGGTTTGTAACCCATGGAAGGTGGGTTAATTGTAACCGGTGTAGGAGCGGTGATGAATTATTGTAGGAGGGGTTATGGATTATTGTAGCAACTACGTCGAGGCTTAACCCGAAATTTTTATCCTGTCTCAAAAAATGCTTCTCAAACAAAGAATAATTGAGATTCACTATCTTATTTTCTTATCCTTATGGTGTTAACTCTCAATATCCCACTACCCAAAAACACCCCCAGGAGTCCAAGGCTGGCCTCAGAATACTACTATAGCAATGGCTTTACACAACACTAAACACCATGCAAAAAATAAAAATAGTCTTTGTTTTTTGCGGTACTTTGAGAACTAGTTCATTATACATAGAAGAGGAAAAATTACTACAGTGGGCATGAGTTACAGGGCCGGCCCACCGATATGTTAAAAAAAAAAAGGTAAGGAGTTTAGGTCCCAAATTTTTAGAACTTTTTATAATTTTAGGTATATTACTAGCTCACAAAAATAAATTAAATTCATTAAATTTTAAGTCATATAAAAAAGTCTCAAAAAATTAAATTCAATCAAAATTTTTATTGTAATAATTTGGGCTTATAATCCAATTCAAAACATTAAAAACTTAAAAATTAAAAAAATACTTAAAAGTCAATTCATATTTAATTTCAACCCCTCTCTCTCTCTCTCTCTCTCTCTCTCTCTCTCTCTCTCTCGGGTAAAAAAATAAAAAAAAATAAAAAGTTGAAATTAAATACTCTTTTTCCCTTTCTGCGGTAAAAAAATAAAAAATAAAAAATAAAAGTTAAAATCTCTTTCTCGAAAATATTAATACATTTTTCTTTTATCTCTCTCTGACATAAAAAATTTAAAATAAATTATTTTTTTTTAAAAAAATAATACTAAAAATAAAAAGATATTCATTTAATATTTTTACTCTAGGCCTTAAATTGGCTTGATCCGCTCTGATGAGTTGATAGTCAATTTAAACTCATGATCCGTCCTATCTTTAAAGATGTTATGTTAACACTTATTAAAATTCGATATAATAATTTTTTGGTTGAACCTATCATATTCATGCACGTAGAAGGCGTGAAACCTGATGGGCCTACTACTTAAATATGGGTTTCAGCCAGACTTTAACTCCTTCACCTCTTTTTTGGGTAAATAAAATGACGGGATTTAGACCTCCCAAAAAATTTAATAAAATAAAAATACATTTTTTAAAATAATTGAGATAGAAGTACATATACTTGAAAAAAGTCATAAAAACTCTTTTATTCCTACTATAAATAGTCCATACCTAATTAAATGTGAGACTTTCAAGATTTCTTTTGATATTTGTGTATCATTTAAATTTGAAAATTTTATGTATATATATATACACACACACTATAAAACTCAAAAAAAAAATAAAAATTATTATTATTATTATTATTATTATTATTAAAAATCTAAATTAAAGGGGTGACATAATAATTAATTGTTAGTATAAAGGTCAAAAACGTAAAAGTTTTTCTAAAAAAATAAATTTATACTGTATATATAAATGAGTGCGAAAGACTTTAGTCTTCAATTTTTTCCTTTCTCCGGCCGGTGCCGAGTGAGTGAGA